CTCGCGGCTAGAATGGCTTCTGTTAGCGCGTTTAGGCGTCGTCTTGAGCTCGTCTAGTAAAACGACTAAGTCGTCGCCTGTGAGAGCACGTTTAGGCGCCACCTTGAGCGCATCTGGTAGCGCGGCTAAGACGTCGTCTGCTGGAGCGCGTTTAGCGGTCACCTTGAGTGAATCTAGTAGCTCGACTTGATCTTTACTTGATCTGGTTGACCGACTGAGATACGCGTTTAGCAGGCACCATGAGCGAATCTAGTAGCTCGACTTGAACGTTGCCTGATCTAGTCGACCGATTAAGATGCGCGTTTAGTAGGCATCCTTTTATCTTCTCCTAACCGCTTTCCGGTTTAGTTTCAGCCGCTTCTCGATTTAACTCCGGTTGAATTTTGGTTCGTCTCAAAGCATGTACTTGGTCGGTTTATTGGAGACAGTGAACTAGACACATTCATGCCTGTGACGATTTAGGCAAGTTTACTTTGAACTTATGCCTGGTAAAAGGCGAGTTTGCTTTAAATTCGTGCTTAGCGTAAGACGAAGTTACTAGACTCATGCTGAGACAAAGGCGAGTTTACTTAGAACTCGTGCCTAGTAGAAGGATAGTTTCTGTAAACTCATGCCTAGTCAAAGAAAAGTTTTTGTAAACTCGACTAACAATAAGCGAATCAACCGTAAACTCTGCCTAATAAAAGCAAGTTCAATTTAAACTTGTGCCTAAAATACACGTTTACCGAGCTATTGCTGACCCAAAGTTTTGTGTTGGGATCGTGCCGGCTTTGACAGCAAACTGATCAATGAGAAAAAACGCTTGCGGGATTCGCGCAGCCAGAAGGTCACTCGCGAGATGCTGCGTGTTGAGGCGGCAATGACCAACAAGATTAGCCGCTGCATCGATCGCGTCCGGGCTTATCTTAAGCAGCGTAGTCTCTCTCACGGGAGCAGAGTTTGCTTGAGCAGGCTTCCGAGACGAGGAAGTGTCTCAAGATGATCAAGGAGGAGAAGTCTTTCCCCGCTTGTTCTCCCTTCTAGGTTCGTGAATGAAGAGTTTGTGGCTACGCCTGACCCGTATGGGTCAAACGATGATCTAGTTAGGTCGGAAACGGCCTCGCAGCTCCGAACGCCCTGCGATGTCCTCGGGGCGAGTCGACAGGTAAGTCGCGTGAGAATCCAGTCGACGCGGCTCCGTCTTGTAAGGAGTCAGGTCCAAACCTTGGTGAAGAGACTATTGAGAAGAATGATATCACGGTTCGTGAAGGTCGTCTGAAGGACGTTGACTCAGCGAAGTCTGTCGAGGTTTCTGATTCTTCTTCCGAGAGAGAGGAGGAGAATGACAGGGTAG